CTTGCCTCCAGGAGCAGCCCGGTTTCACCCTCTCCAAACCTGTTTATTTTCTTAGCAGTTGATGGTACCCTCAACACTCTTCTCCAGCACCACAGCTCAAAGGTGTCAATTCTCCTTCTATCCTCCCTAGTCATTGCCCAGCTCTCTGACGCATAACATGTGATTGCAAAGGCCATGGCCTGTATCAGGCGCACCTTAGTCTCCAGAGAGACACCGTACACAGTTCAAATCCATCAGCTGCTCAGTGAGAGAGAGACAGGCAATCTCTTTCTGTGCAATTTTCATCAGCTAAATAAGAATTTCCAGCTTATATAAGTAGCTCTGAATCCTAGGGTGCCTGTGATAGCCACATCACAAGGATTTCCTTTATTCCAAGCCAAGACTTCAGATGATAAAAAGATTGCTAAGAATAGAAGAGGGCTTGGGAAACCTTCCAAGCATGAGAAATAAGAAGTTTGATGGAGTCAGAATGAAGAGTCCTTGATGTGATCAATTTTGAGGTTTAAGATGGAAAGACAAAATAAAGATAAATTTTTAAAATTCATTTTAGGTAATTCCAGAGAATGGTCATGAATGTCCATTATTTGACTAGAAGAGGATTCCTAGTTTTCACTGATGATTAGCAGACTTTATTACCCAAACTAAAAATGAGAATAATCTTATCATTCTTAATAAAGAGAAATAGTAGAACGTGTATGAGAAGACTTTTTTTTTCCCAAGAGTCTATGCCTCAGAGAGCTGGACAATGACTAGGGAGGATAGAAGGAGAATTGATGCCTTTGAGCTGTGGTGCTGGAGAAGAGTATTGAATACACCATGGACTGCTAAGAAAATAAACAGGTTTGGAGAGGGTGAAGCCGGGCTGCTCCTGGAGGCAAGAATTCTAAAGCTTCATCTGACACACTTTGGACATGTTGTAAGGAGGGACCAGTCCTTGGAGAGGGACGTCATGCTTGGGAGAGTGGAGGGACAGCGCAGGAGGGGAAGGCCCTCTGTGAGGTGGATTGATTCAGTTACTGGAGTAATGTGGGTAGGTGTGTTAGAGACTGGGAGATCAGCACAGGACAGAGCCGGGTTTAGGGCTGTTGTATATAGGGTTGCTATGAGTCACAAGCAACTCGACGGCACATAACAACAACTGCATAGCAAACCAACTGGGGTGGTGGGAAGATCATTTGGAGGTTACAGTAATAGTCTATTAAGATACAAACACGTATCACAATACTGAAATTCATTGTTGCTGAGTTGAACCTGACTTACCGCTGACCCTCCTGAAGTTGTTCAGAAGCTGTAAATTGCAGAGAAGGAGTTTACCCGTGTTTCTCCCTCAGAGTCACGGATGGATTCAAACTGCCTACCTTTGGGTCGGCAGCTCCTTTCACACTAAGCCCGCCAGAGCTGCCTTAAACCAAATTCATTGCCATCAGGTCAATTACGACTCATAGTGACCCTCCGTCGGCTTTTCCAAGACACTAAATCTTCCAAGGAGGAGTTTGACCATTTTTCTCCAACAAAGAATTTAGTGGATTAGAACGACTGAATTTTTAGTAAGCACCTCAATACTTTTTTCACTATACCTCCAAAGTGCTTTAAATATAATTGCAACCAAACCAAGCCCACCATCATGGAGTCAACGAAACTCTTAATCACTCTCCATTGGGTTTCCAAGGCTGTAAATCTTTATAGAAGGAGAATGCTCGCCTTTCTCTTGAAAAGCAGCGAGTGGATTTGAATGACAAACCTTCAGTTTGCCTCTTGACACTTTATGAACTATATCATCAAGACTCCTAAATATAAGTAGGCCAGTTAAAGAAAGTAAGGAGAAAGTAAGATAGAGAGATACAAAGGGCACAATTTTGTTTTCCCCAGGACTGGTCCCCACATGCAGATGTAAACAGATAACTGGTTATGAGTCAACTGCTGTGATTTCCTTTAGCTCTTTTTTCCCTGAAGTTTATAACCTGTATAAGGTGTCCACTTCCACAATAGCTTGCCTCTATGAATCCTATGAACCTTGAGAAAGGACGAAAGTTATTCAGGAAGTGTCCAGGACTGTCGTTCATAGGGTCACTATGAGTCACCTTTGACTCGACAGCACTTGACAACAGCAACAACCAGAGAAATGGAGTAAGCAAAACCAAATCTACCAACATCAAGTCAACTTTGATTCATAATCACATAATCTGTCCATATAAGACAGAGTTGAACCATTCCATTTTTATTATAGAGATTTTAATGAAAGTTTATGAAGAACTTGGATTTCCATTCATCCACTGTTGCACATTTTCCTCCCTGCCCACCCCTCTCCCCAGTTCCCTTTTTTTTTAAAAAAAAAAAAGGTCTTTTGTTGTTATTCAGCCCTACTCCACAGTTCACTTTTTGGAGAAAAAAAATCATTCCTTGTTATACAGTTCCCTTCCCCCAAGTCCACATTACTATGCAGCTCTTATTCTGGACTTCTGTCACACCAATAATACCTAATCATAAATTTCTTTTATATCTCCCTC